GACAGAACGGAGCAAGGAAAAGTGTTATCTATATGTAGGAGATTTAAACTACATCCTTTTCTCTCTCCCTGTACAGAAATCAATTTCAAATGAAGCAAAGACATAAATATGAGTCCTGAAACCTTCTAGTAGCAGCATGAAACTGCTAATAGAAAACATAGGGAAACACTCCATGATGTACCCACAAGCAAGGACCTGATGATTAGGACTCGAATAGCTCAGAAAATAAGAGTTCGGATTGACAAATGGGATTGCATCAAATTTATAAACTTCTCCACAGCCAAAGAAACGTTAACAAGTGAAGGGACAGCCTACATAATGGGAGAAAATCTTTGGAGCTACTTTTCCAACAGGAGACTAATATCCAGAATATATAAAAAGTTAAAAAATGAATTAACTACAAGAGGACAGTTAATCTAATAAAAATGCACAAGTGAACTGCACAGACAGTTTTCAAAGGAAGAAATAAGAGTGTTGGCAGAAATGTAAATCAGTGCACTCACTATGGAAATCAATATGGAGGGTCCTCAAAAAATAAATTCGAATTACCATATGTCTGACTCCTCAGTATCTATCCAAAGAAATTAGAGTCTGAAAATTGCAGAGAAACTTGCATATCTATGTTTATTGAGGGGCAATATTTCATAGTCAAGATGTGGAATCAGCACAGGTGCCTGGCAACAGATGAATGGAAAAAGAAAATTTAATATTTATACATGTATTTCAGTTGCCAGAAAGATTGAAATTGTGTCATTTGCAGGAAAGTGAATGGAACTGGAGATCATCATCTTAAGTAATATAAGCTAGGTTAGAAAGGGAGGTGTCATATTATTTCCCTAATATTTGGGAACTTCCCACCATGACGTGAAAGCAGAAGGCAGCTATTAGACAGGGAAAAGAGAGGGAAGGCGGGATATAAGGGAGGATGCTGGGACATGGATACGCCCAAAACGCTGTATTTCTATGTGAAAATGCCTCAGTGAAACTCAATATTCTCTAAAATCTAAATGAATATGTATACAAGGAAATCATGATTGAAGACACCCCAAATTTAGTGGAAAATGTAAGTCAACAGATGTAATGGACTCAGCAAACTCCAAAAACATAAACCAAAATAAACCCACACCACAACTAGAAATCTCACAACTGGGCTTCTAGAAAGTAAAGGCAAAGAAAAAATCTAAAAGCAACCAGAAAAAAATCCAACTTTTAATTATAAGACATCAGTGAGTCAAACAATAGTTTCTCCTCAGAAACTACAGAAGGAGTTGGTATAAAAGTTTTCAAGGGATTAAAAGAATTATCAACTCAAAACTGAAGTATTTCTCAGAAATACAGGTGAAATAGATATTCTTAGGTGAAGGAAATGAAGATTTGCCTTCATTTATAATCTGATGCATTATAACTGCAGATTTTATCTGAAGTGAAGGTGCTTTGAGAAAAGAAAAAACAAATGGAAAAGGAGGACAAAATCTAACACTTTCTACAGGTCAGAGGACTCGGATCTGTGTGGGCTCTGGGAGAGGAGGTGATCTCTTCACCCATGCTGGCAAAAGATCTAAAGTCAAAAGACCAAGTGTTCATTCCTGGGGATTTGGAGGCAGTCACTTGCTTACATTTTGTCAATAAAATGGGATATTTTCAGGCGCAAAAGAAAAGATAAAGAGAGAACTTGGACCATGAAGAAATAACAACAGAAATGTTAATGCATGAGAAAATACAATGGAATATTATTTTCCTCTTGTTTTAAAAAGATTATGTTTCAGGGCTGTAAGCAACATTTTGTAACATTGTCTTATGTGTTTTTCAGTGTATGTGCAATGACATCAAAGACACTGATACTCCATATGGGGTGGAGAAGAGTTTCAAGTGCCAATAAAATATCTCTATGTCTTTTGGCATAGTAATAGGCCCTGTAAGAATGTATATTATAAATTATATGAAGAGAAATAAAATCATTATAAGTAAATTAAAATAAAATTCTAGAAAATGTTTATGTAACTCACAGCAAGGCAGGAAGAGGAAGACCAAAAAAAAAAAAAGTAGGAATAAACAAACAGCAAATAGTAAAATGAGAACCTGAATTCTGACATGTTATTATCATTAAAGTGCACACACTAAACACACCAGTTAGAAGACAGATTAGCAAAGTAGGTTTACTCACTTCAACTACAAGTATCTTATACGTAATTTAAAAGTAGGAGAATGGAAAAAGATATATTTTGCAAACATTAATCAGTTTATATTGCTATCAGTCAAAATAGACTTTAAAGGAAAGAAATTTATTAAGGACAAGAAATACACTACAAAATGTCAAAAGACTCAACCAACCAAGAACACAAAACAGATATAAATATGTATGCACCAAGCAATAGAACTTCAAAATACATAAATCAAAAATAGAGCAGAATGGAGAAATAGATAAAGCAGCAATTATACCTGAGAATGTCTTTGAGTAATCAATAAATCACTCACCAGAAAGTGAGCACAAAATCTAAGCATGAATTTTCATGGTAGCTTTACGTGTAAAAGTGAAAACTGCAAGCAATTTAAATGCCCTTCAGCAGATAGTTAAAGAAATTACTGTATGTCCATATAATGGAATACTACTCACTAATAAAAAGAAACGAACCACTGATATCCACTGATATGTGTAAAAACTTGATGGATTTCCAGAACATTGTGTTGCATGGTAAAAAAAAAACAACACTCAAAATGTTATATAATAAACCATTATATAACTAAATGTTATATAAATAGTATAAGTGTATAGTTTTATGTACGTAACATTCTAAAATGACAAAATTATACTGATGAAAAACAGATCAGTGATTGCAAAGAGTTAAGATTTGAGGAAAGTATGGTTCTAAAGAGGTAATTTATCTAGATTATAATCATAGGTACAAAAAAATCTACCTTTAAAATAAAATTTCAGAGCACCATACCCCCAAAAAAGTGCCTGGTAAAACTGGTAAAATTTAAACGTTTCATAGTATTGCACCAACACTAATTTTCTGGCTTAGTAATTGTGGAAATGGTTACGTGAGATGCTATACTGGGGACATCTTGGTAAAGGGCACATGGGAACTCGTCTTATTTTCTCAATTTCTTTCTTTTACTTTAAAGAGAATTAAAAAATAATAAAAATGGCACAGAATTTCCAAAAAAGATGACAGGAAATTAACAACGGTTATTGTATTGCACATTGTTATCTTCAAAGTAGCTGCTCAGAGTAGCAGATATAGTTTCCATCTGCACCTTAAATTGTTTTCAAATAAAAATCAGCTGAGTTTTAAATTTGAGTGTTTATTAATTTAGATAGCGACATGGGGTGTGTAACTGTAGGATTGGACAGTGCAGGTCTACACAAAGTTCTGCTAAATAAACTTATTTCTCTTGTTTTTACTCATAGTTTCCTGAAGAAAATCTGCACGTGTGAAAATTCCCTTTAACACCGAGAATATAATCCATACTCTTTAAACGTGTCTCAATCAGGGGCAGTACGGTATCAAACCAGAGCATCATAATGTGCAAGGTCAGGAAAATAATGTGCTTGGTCGCTCTCGCTCATACTGATGACTGATGCAGGTGGTGGAATGTTAATTCCTCGGTAACTTGTGAAGGTTTGAAAACTCATTCTTGTTTTGCAAGCGTGCTGCATAGGAAGAAGTCCTTAGTTGTTCAGAACCTTAATTACCCCGTTTTATTGACAAAATGTAAGCAAGTTGCTGCCTCTAAGTCCCCAGGAATGAAGAGTTGGTCTCTTGACTTTAAATCTGTTGCCAGCACAGGTGAAGAGATCACCTCCTCTCTCAGAGCCCACACGGATCCTGACCTGCAGAAAGTGTTAGATTTTATCCTCTTTTCCCATGTGCTTCTTTTGAAAAGAACCTTCACTTCAGATAAAATCTGCACATTTACAATGAAACAGATTTCTTGTGTGCTAGCCTGATCCCAGTATACAAATTCCATAACCAGCTCCCTGTGCTTTCCGGGGAACGTGATGGGGTGAAGGATGAGACTGATAGATATTTGGAAGAAATTGCTCTCAAACCCTCTTTCCACCCACTCCTGGAGTGATGGGGAAGCTGTTGTCCCTGAGGATTAAGCCTTGTTGTCCACAGGCTTCCAAAGCAGATAATACTGAGGCTCTCCTCAGTGGCATTCAGGGTAGATGGGAAGAGAACATTATCACTACCATTGTTGAGAATTTCCAGTACATGATGGAATAAAAAGCACAGTGACTTTTGGTTCCTTTTTACCACTGCTTTAAATTCACTGACAGTGGTGTAACTGCTTGCTTCCCTTACCAGGGAGAACTAATATACCCTGCTCCCCTCAGTGCTCTGAAGCATAGCCTCGGCTCACCTGTGCAGGTAAGTGAGGGAGGCCCAGACGCTATCTGAGCTCTGGAAGGGCAGGAGGCAGTCTGGTTCCGCCCGAGTCCCTAGCAAATGAGAGTGCTGTGTGCTGTTATGGTTTTTACCTCCAAAGGCCCATGTGTTCAAGACTTGGTTGGCAGCTTGGTGCTACTGGAAGATGGCAGAAGCATTAAGAGGTAGAACCCACTGGGAAGTCTTCAGCTCATTGGGGCATGCATAGGAAAGTGACTGTGGGATCTTAGTCACCCCTCAAGTCATGACCGCCCGGTGAGGGGTTTTGTTCCGCTCCAGCCATGATATGCTGCTTTGGCTCCAGAAGCTAAAGAACAATGTGCTGCCCAGTCTGCCTGTCCATGACTGGAAGCTCCCAAACTGTGAACCAAAATAAAATGCTACTCCTTGTAAGCTGAGTATGTCAGACATGTGTTATAGTGACAGGAAGCTGACTAGCACTGACTCTAATTGAATTCAGGAAGGTTGTTCAGTAAATAGATACATGAATTACTTTATAGTTCACAAAAAGGAAAGACAAATATTTTGTTGGAGATTTATCATCTTTGAAAATCTCTTCAGTGGAGGAACTCAAAGCACAAAAATACTGACACTAATACATCCATGTCTGTTTGTGACTTTTATTTTATTTATTAGAACTTAAAGTTTCATATTATAAGCACTGTGACCTCCAGAAAGCATTCTCTAAGCGAACAGGACTAGTTAAGTTGACAGTTCAGGTCCTATTCTCCAGAAGCCGAGCCTGTGACAAGAATTTTGGTGCATGTGATTTCTTAAGGGAGCACTCTCAGGAGAAGTGGCATGAGGGAAGTGAGATCGAGCAGGGGAAAGAGCAAAATAGGAATACAGCATCAGCCAGAACCCTCTGCAGCCTGATTCCATGGGGCGCTCTGGAGTATGAACTGTACTGTAACTTGCATCAGACTCTGGGCCAGTGAACTATTTTCATCAGACTCCCTGTGAAGGTGACAGTTGTGTTAGAATTCCAGGAGAGGAAGCCCCTGGGAGCCACTAGCAGACAGACTTACAATGGCTGCAGGACGGGACAAAATGGGCCTGGAGGAAAGAGAGCTGGCTGGGGCATCACCGCAGCTACAATCAGCATCTCCAAGGATGTCCATCCGAATCCCTGTTAGTCCATTTTCATTACTATAACATAATACCTGAGAAAGAAGAAAAAGAAAGAAAAAACTAAGGCAAAAAAAAATATATGGATAGCTAGGATAACTGTACTTCTGATGTCTAGTGGGTTACTGAAAGGAACAGTTAATGCTTAAAATTTTTTTGTATTTTGACCAATGATATGAAGACAACAATGTGCAATCTAACAACCATTGGTGAATTCCTACCATCTGTCTAGTGAAGCTGTATTATCTCTAATGTTTTATCTAATAATTTTTTTTATTCTCTTTAATGGTTTGAACAGTCTTCCATTCTTACATCTGGTAATCTGAACAACTTCGTTGAAGATAACAATATGTAATATAACAACCACTGTTAATCCCTATCATTAGGTTTGAAACACTATTTTAGTCCATCTCTAGGAGTTGCCAAAGTCCTAACAGTTTCAGCACTGCTGCAAAGTCCAAGCCCCAAGTCTCCTCCAAGATAAAAGGCAAACTCTTAGCTGTGAGCCCCTGTACAAATGAAAGCAAAGTTAAACACTTCCATGATTCAGTGGCACAAGATAGACATTACAATTCCAAAAGGTACAAACAGGAAAACAGAGCACTGGGACCAAACCAAGTCCAACATCCAACAGAGCAAACATTAAGTCCTGTAGCTCCATGAGCCAATTCCAAGGCAATCTGTGGCAAATTGTGAGCTCCATGTGGCTCCACTTTTATGGCACTTCTGGTGGCTGTAGCTCCCATGGCTTCTCTCTTAGGCCTGCTTTGCTCCATCCTTGCAACTTTCCTTAGATGATGCACATTCCTGGCTTTTCCAGCATTCTGAGGTCTGCCCTGCACTTTAGGCTTTTACTCACAGACTCACATATTGCCCTCTCAGGGGCACACTGCCTGGCCTCCCAGGCCTTCTTCTGAAATTTGGGTGAAAGCTTTTTTAACCTCAGAACTCTTGCATTCCGCGTGCACCTAAAACTAGCACCATGTGGATAATGCCAAGGTCTGCTGCTGGCTGGAGCAGTAGCCAGGCTTTCTTCTCTCTTGGCTGTAGGGGTTGAGTACCTGGATCACTGAGTTCTCTGAACTTGATTCTGAGGAACAAATTTTCTGCATCACTGCCATTTTGGAACCTAGTGTGGCTTCCACCTCCATTCTGGAACATGGTGTTCTGTGGCTTTCTCCTCAAAGCAAAGTCTTTCACTTTTACAGGTTTGAGGCAGCAAAGGGCAGACACTTGCAGCTTCTTATGATGACCTCAGGCCATCTTTTCTATTCTCTTGTCCCTTCTCAGCAATGGAGATCTCCTCAGCTCTATCTTTGCAGTCCACAGCTTTACCAGAGCTTCCTTTCTGGTCAAACCCACACCACTTTAAAGCACCCTGCTGAGCTCTTTGCTCTTGGTTCTCAGCATAAATCTTGCTAAAAGCCCCCAACAATAGCCATTCCATTGCCTCAATATTTGACTGCCTTGAAATTTCCTTTGCCAGATTAATCAGTCCACTGTCCTTAATCTCAGTCTCAGACAAAGTCTCTGGACCAGAGCAAAATGCAGACAAACTTTCTGCCATGTTATAACACACATCATCTAGAGTCCAACAACCAGTGCAGTCCTTCTTCCCAGCAAAAACCTCCTGAGCCCCGAAATCCTTACTGGCAGCATTTCTATCAGCCTCCTGATCTTCTGAGTGCTGATGAGATCTCCCATATAGAACAGCCTAAAGTGTTCCAGTGCTACTCTTTCAGGTGAATTCTCTGAACCTTTCCAAACTCTTCCCACATGGCATTTCCAAAGGCTTTTGAACCACGTGGTCAGGTATAGTCACAGAAATGACCCCACTCCTGGTGCCAAATTCTGTGTTGGTTACTTTTCTCTCATTGCTGAAACAAAATACCTGATGCCCAAAATTAAGGAAAGAAAGGTTTATTTAGCTCACAGTTTGTAGAGGTTTCAGTTCACACTTACCTGGTGCCAAGGCAGAATGGCACATGGCAAGGCCAACAAGTTCATGACAGCAGAAAACAGCAAAACCAGTAAGAGCAAAAGAGAGGAAGGAGCAAGAGGGTAGGGCTTCAAGTCTCTTTTCTTCCCTTTTATTGTATGCAAACTACCTGCCGCAGGGCAGGTGTAGCCCTCACACCCATAATCCCAGCATTGGACCATGGATCAATCATAAACTCTAGAAGCCCACCTCATGACTGCATGAGGCTTTGAAGGGACATATAGACACAAACCATGAAAATGTGATATTTAAATTTCTGAATCAACATTGCTGGCCATTAGAAAAGTGCACATTGAAACTCCAGAAAGAATGTTCATCATCAAGAAATCAAATAATAGCAAATGCTGGGGAGGCTGTGGGGGGAAATGAATACTTCAACACTATTGGTGGGAATGTAAAGTAGTACAACCACTAGTAGAAGTCAGTATGGGAATTTCTTAAAAAATTAAAACTAGAAATTTCATTTGGCCCAACTATTCTTCTTCAGGTATGCTTCTGAGATAGTTAAAATCATCATATTGCAGTGATCCATGCATACGTATGTTTAAAGCTGCACAATCCGTCATAGCTAAATCCTGGAGGCAGTTTATTTGTCCACCAACAGATGAATGGATAAAGAAAATGTGATACTTCTGCACGATGAAGTACTGCTCTGCCATAAAGAAGGGTAAATGCGAGGCATTTTTAGGTAAATGGATGGACCCGAAGACCATACTGTTAAGTAAAATAAATCTACATCAATCTCTAATGCATCAAAATATAAGCACTTTTCTTCACCTTAAAATACTTTTCTTTCTTTTTTGTAATGCTAGAAATCAAGCACTCTAACAGGGCTACATTCCCAGCCCCTTAAAATAAAATTTCATTCCATTGTGTGCAAATGCCGCACTTCTTCATCCATTCATGTGTTGATGGACATACAGGCCACTTTCAAGGTTTAGCTACTGTGAGTTGTGCTGCTGTAGACACGAGTGTGCATGGATCACAGCAATATGATGTCTTCACCTCTTTCAGGAAGGTACTTTGCATATGTACCAGCTCCTCACATGGAATCGAAACGTTATGCACTACAAACATGTACTAGTAAAGAAAATGATCTGAAAAAAATTTTAAATGGAGGGATGCTTAAAACCCAAGGAGTCTAGGCCTGATGTGGTGGTATATCTGTAATGTCAGCACTTCCGAGGCTGAGGCAGGAGGATCATGAGTTTGAGGTCAGACTGAGACACATAGTAAGATTATGTCTCAACACAAAAAGCATTCTCAGTCCTCTAATAACTCTGCACAGAACTCCCATTTTACTTGTACACTCATGTTTATAGCAATATAATTTTTAATAGCTAATCTTGGAAGCAGCGTATATATCCATCAGCAGATGAATGGATAAAGAAAATGTGGTATTTACATACAGTAGAGTACTACTCTGCCATAAAGAAGAATAAATTTGAGTCATTTTTAGGAAAATGGATGCGCCTCAAGACCATAATGTTAAATGAAGTAAACCAGACACAAAAGCCTAAATATCACATGATTTCTCTTACATGAGAACCCAAAGTATAAATAATAAGCAAAATGAAAGGTAACAGGAAGTAGGGAGACAGATGTTTCTTAGGGGGAAGGGGATCAAGAGTGGAGGGGAGGGGATAGAGAAGATGGGCAGGGGTAGAAAAAGGAATTGGAATATGCTCTCTGCGTGCACCAACCCCATGTAAGGAATGTGAACCTGATGTACCACACACACGTACTCATGTAAGAATGATAAAAAATAAAAGGAAAGTGCAGTTTCCCTGACAAGTTTCCCTATGCTTCTGACAAAGCACTTCTTGTAAGTGCTCGGGACAGTGTGGTGCGGTACAGGGCTTCCCGAGGACATGTTGGTGGCACCTCTTCACATCCACTCTTTGTCTCCCTGTCTTTGGACACATTTTAGGCAAAGCCACTCTTGTTGCCGGTGTAGGGCTTCCACTTCCGGAATACCTATGACTCCAGGTCTCTCTGCTGCCTTCCGGTCTTTATAACTCGTCTTGACAAGAGCCAAGCCAACAAGGTGACACATTTGCATTTGCTTCAATGATGTCCCAGAAGCTCTGCCGGGGATAATTTTACACTGAGCCACAGACACATTATACTATTTTCTTCACGGGATTACCTGCTGGAAATGAGAGCTGAAATGTATCCTATACCCTCCCATTGTACACACAAAGTGCTCACGTCTTAAGAGAAACAATGTCACTCTATCTATGGAATCTAGCTGCCCAGGGAAATATTCAGCAAATATTTATTACATGGAAGTATCTGATTTAAATGTCAATGTGCTCAAAATTACTTTACTGGTCTCCAAACTCCTTTTCAGGTTTTCTAAGATTGCTTTTCTTTCTCTTCTCACCTCTAAGTCCCTAAACACACAGTGCATTGTCTTGCTTATCATCTGTAAAGAAGTAAACTCTACTTGAATGACCCAAGCTCCTCTCCTGGCTTCTTAATGCTGAATTGTAAGTGGTTAGGGGTGGAGAGCATAAGAACATAAAATTATATTTTCTCTTTTAGTTTGATCTTGATTCCATCAATTCAGAGAATGGGAACCTGTGAATTAAAAATAATCTTGTGGAGGGTGACATGAATAGCATAGCTTTGTATTCAAAGGTGACATGTGCTTTTTTCAGATGTCTGCATCACAAATGTTTTAATAGTGTCGAGTAACAGCTGCACGGCTACACACTTCTTAACTGATGCTGACTTTTGGAATCTTACCTTCCCACTCGCCTACATGCTTCATGGCCATAAGGCTTTGCGTTTATTTTGCTCACATTTCTATTTCTAGGGCTGGAGTAATGCCTGGTAATGATACATTCTCTTGATTAGTGAGCATATGAATAAATAAAATACAGCAAAAAAAGTGTGCTTGATTTCACCTCCTTGGTACATAATTACAAGCAAATGCTTGCAGAAGGAAGAGGGATAGATGCTCATAATTAGCCCTAATTTCTTTCTTACTGTCGAGGTGGGTGTTCATCAGGCATACCAACTCTTTCTAATTGATGTTTTGAAAACTCTTTTTGCCAAACAGGAGCGACTTTTGTCCTGCCATGTTTACATACCTGAGACCAAGAACAGCCACTTTTTGAAGTTAAAGATTCACTTATGTTAAACATTTCCGGATGATAGCAAGAGCTTGACTTGGCAGACAATAATCTCTAGTATTTTCCTCTGTGATACTTCTCTGACAAGTCTTGAAGGGCCTGTTCCCAAGGGATTGAGAGAGATGGGGCGAAGGCTGTTGCTGCCATGCTGGTGGAAGTAAGAGTGCAAGTGAGAGCAGTGCAGAGACCACTGGCTTCCTCCCTTGCGTATCTGAGTGTGTGTTATCTCAGGCAAATACAAATCCCCTAACTGGCCTCCTCAGGCCACCGGTGACTTTCTGGGATGTTTTTCCATTTACCTGCTATTGTGTGTTCAAAGCCCAGAACTAATTTTATACCAACTTTAAAGGTAACCTTCTCAGACAGCTTCCCACCTTTTTACTACAGAGTATACTTAAATTGTTTTTCTCCCAAGGTCCACCAGAATTTGAGACGTTTTTTGGTCTACTTTACAACTGTATTTATAAACTGATAACTAATTTTCCATTTCCATTTTAGGTAAGAAGCTGTGGTTGCCAGACTTTGTTGCCAGAGTTCTAATTAGAAAATGATAAATTGTTATGAGACGATGTTGATATAATTCCAGAAGAGCAAAGACACGTAGCATTAGCCCTGTGGAAGTTCAGGGTGGGTAACAGGTTACGTCTGTGACTGTAACGCTCTGAAATAGTGAAAGCAGTAGAAGCACAACGGTGGTCGTGGTAGTTGTGGTAGTGGCTGTCCAAGTTTGGGAATCTCATTAAACTGCACATTGGGGCCAGTGGAGGATCTTCAAGCTACTGGCACTTGGGCTTTATTCCTGATCAAGTGAATTAAAATTTTTGAGCCTTGGGGTGACTTGAATGCATGGTAAGGGTAGGCATATCTATTAGTAAGTGTTAAAAGGGCCGGGGATATAGCTCAGTTGCACAAGCACCTGCCTGGCAAGCACAAGGTCCTGAGTTTGATTCCCAGTACTAAATAAATAAATAAATAAATAAATTTGGCAACATGTTTGGGAAGGGGATATAGCTCAGTGGCACAGTGCCTGCCTTAAAAGTATGAGGTCATGTGTTCGATTCCTGGTACCACCAAAAAAATAAAAAAGAATCACGCAATTCTGAAAAATAGTTTGCTGGGTGTGCTGGCACACTCCTGTAATCCCAGCACTTCAGGAGGTTGAGGCAGGAGGATCGTTGTGAGTTCGAGACAAGCCTGGACTAGAAAGTGAGCTCAAGGCCAGCCTGAACTGCATAATGAGATCCTGTCTCAAAAAGACAAACAAACAAAAAAGTAAGTATTCAAAAGAAAACAGTGGAAATAACCAAAGCAAAGCAAGAATGGGAAAGGAAAGAAAAAGAAAAGAAGAAAGGGAAAAGAAGAAAGGAAAGGAAAGGAAGAGATGGGAAGGAAAAAAAAAGAAGAGGAAAAATAATAGAAGAGAAAAAAAAAAAAAGGAAGAGAAAGGAAAAGCTTGCCTGCGAGGCTGCACCTATAGCAGAGAACTGCACTCTGCCTCGTGAGCCAAGCCCCTCTCCTGCTAATGGCAACACCCAGAAGAGGTGGCAAAAAGCTGCCTTCTCCTAAGGTGGCCCTGGAGCATTGTCTTTTTATAGCATCTCTCAGGACCAGGGAATCCCCACAGGCAGAGCAAGAAGAGGGTACAGTCCAAATCAAGATGCCTCAGGTTAAATTCCCTGCAGTCAATTAAATGTGTGAGGGTGTCACGTTTGTCTTACCCAGACTCTTCAGGCCTAACAAACTGCATTTGAAATCTGTCCTCTCCTGTGGCCCAGCTTTGGTATCATCTTCTACACTAACATGTCAGTGACCACTGCAGCTACATAGCTATCTAACAGGAAGGACCAACTGTCTCTTGCAGGCTTTTCTATCTTTCATGTGGCCCCTAGGTCCCAGCCCTGGCCCCTTGCTCCTGACTGGTTGCATTCCAGAGAAGCAATGTATGTATTAGAAATACCCAGTAGTGCCGCTAAGGCTTTGAAGATAAACAGATGCATTCCAAGTGAGTAGGGAAATAGTGATTACTGGGAAAAATGGACACAAGGGACAAGATCAGTAAAAGGAGATGAACACTGAGATGAATGCTAAACATTTTGCACAATGTGAAAGTTTTCTAATTTATATATTTGTGATAATTTTGTAAAAATAAAAAGTGGAGACATTTGTAGGTTCCTTTTAGCATGTTATTCTGTAGTACCTTATTGATTTCACAAAACAAATTTCCATAGTTTTCTTCACTTGATGTGTTTTCTGAAGGCCTGGAACCATCTGAAAGTATCTGACCCTGCGTTTTTTTCTGGCTAAGTTATAGAAAAAGAAATCATTCAGTGACTATCCTCGGATCCAACTTAGCTGGTTGTCATGGTTTGGATCTGAACTGTCCCCTAAGGTTCGGGCCCCAGTGCAGCAGTATGCAGAGGCAGGGCCTGTGGAAAGTGACTAGATCATGAGAATCCTAACCTTGTTGATAGATTAATGCACTGATGCTCTTGGTAATTTGTACTTGGGAGGTGGTAGAAGCTGTTTTCCAACTAGGTAAGTAAAGTTTAATATACTTTAAAGGGTATATTTATAAAATATACCTTTTGAATGTGAGCAGATTGTTCCACCACAGGATCCCCACCACAATGTTCTGCTTTACAAACTTCAGAAACAATAAAGTCAGGTGACTCTGGACTAAAACCTCTGAAAATGTGAGCTATTGTTGCTAAAGATGCTAGCACCATTAAAAAGAAGCCAAATACTTTGCACTAAATGCCTTTGGAGTATCACAGCAATCAGTCAAACTTCACTCCTTGTAGGCTCAAGGAAAAATAATTCAATTAAGTCAAGAGTGGTACTGCACACTTAGGGAGCAGAAGAAGGAGGACCTTGAGTTCTAGGCCAGACTGGATGACATAAGAAGATCCTGTTTCAATAAAAAGTATAAACATTTTATTCAGGAAGAGTGCTCCTGTGCACCCTGATCCAGGCCACCCAGAGAATTATTTTTTCAGGGATTAATTTCCCCAGTGCCCAGGTATGCAGAGGCTGCTGCTACTGTGGTCCAAGGATGCTTGGCTACAGTTCTGCTGCTGGCAAACTTTGGTATCACCCATGTGATACTGGTATTTCAGGCATGCAGAATGTGAGAGCTGTGGGGTCACAGAGGTTTTCACTGATATATCAAACAAAGCCTGGGAGGCCAGGTGGTGTAGATAGAGTTGAAGTCCTTACAAGCAGTACCTAAGAGAACAATGCGTGAATCTATGAAAATGATGCTAAAGTTGCAAGAGGGACCCAAGAAAGTTAGAGATGCCAGGAATAAGCAAAACCAAACCAAGAGAGAGACTATATGAGCAGTAGCCATTAAGGTCATAGGGGTAAAATTTTGAAGCTTACTTTATGCTAATGTGAACCCTCTGTGTTGAACATAGCTGTAGGATTTACATTTGCTCTGCTGGTTTTTAGTCTTGCTTTGGTGTCACACTTCCTTACTATTCTCTTACTTTCACCTTTGGAAGCAGACCCTGTGCCACTTTATCTTGGAAATATGTGATATTACTGCTGATTTATAGAAGCTCATAGAAAAGATTTTGCCTTGAATCTCAGTCTTTAGACTTGGACTTTTAAGAAACACTGGAACTGTTCAGAATTTAGTGATTCACAGAGATGATTAAAGGCATTTTGTTTCATGAGGTGGACATAAGCCTCTGGGCACAAGAACATAATGCTATAGTTTGGATCTGAATTGCTTTTCAAAAGCTCACACTGAAGGATTGATTCCCCAGTGCAGTAGTATTCAAGGGTGGGGCCTCCAGAAAGTATTATGGTTTCAATGTAAAATGTACCCTCAAAATCTCAGGTGTTCAGCAGTGGGGCTTTTAGAAGATGATTGGCTCCTGGGTCACCATGATCATTAATATGGATTAAGCCATTGATGAATTCATACCTGAATGTGTTTTTAGGAAGTGGATCTTGGTTGGAGGAGGTTGGGTTGCTGAAGGTGTTATGTGGAAATGTGTATTCTGGTCCTTGGCTCCTCCCTTCTTGCTCTACTTGCTAGCTTCCATGGGTTGAATAATCTTCCTCTACCATTTCCATCTGCCATGACATCACTGCCTTTGAAGCCAAGCAAGCATAGACTGAATCCTCTGAACCTGTGTACCAAGAAAAACTCCTTTAAATTGTGGATGTCTGGTATTTTGTTACAGCAATGCGAAAATGACCAATATGGAAAATTGGTATTAGGAGTGGGGTCACTGTGGTAACCATACCAGACATTGAGGTTCAGAAGCCTTTGGAAATGCTTTGCAGGAGGAGTTTGGAAAGGTTTGAAGAAATGGGCTGGAGATGTGTTAGAATACTGTAGGCAGATCTCAATGGGCTATGCTGGTGGGAGGTCAGAAGACCAGATGGCTGATAGGAATGCAGATACTATAGACCAGGTCGGAAAGGTTTCACTTAGGAATGAGGATTCTATTGGGAAGGGGACTAGCAGGGCATACATGCTAGATTCTGACCAAGAAATGGTCTTCATCTTGTCCATGTCCTAAGACTTTGCCATACTAAATTTTTTATGGAGGAATTTCAATGTAGCCAACATTCAGGCTGTGGAATAGAGAGTGCCAACTGATTTTAACCAGATTTACAAAGAAAACTGGGAGCAAAAAGATGTAAAAATTTTGCAATTTTGCCAGAAACAAGCATGCATAAATTTGGGGCCAAGAGACTATGGTTGCTGGAAAGATTACAGCTATTCAAGAGAAGCCAAGAACTTTTCACTGGGATCATCTCTGGAACTGGCTAGATCTCACCCATCATAAGCCCATCAGAAGGATATAAAAGAGTCAACTCTTTTGAAAGACTGTTTGGACAAGAGAGCCCCATGGTGCTCTGCTCCTCAGTGCTGCCTACAGAAGTATCCCCCCAAATTTAGCCATGCAGGCTCTCACAAGCTACCCTGCCCAAGCTCCCAGAGGGCCTGGCTACTTCTTGAATAGCTTGTGGCAGACCTTTCTGTGGCAGATCTTGGTGTCATCCACATGGTACTTGTTTTATAGGGATGCAGAATACAGAAGTTAAAGGATCATGGAAGCTTTCCCCTAAATTTTAAAAGGCTTTGGAAGCCAGACAGGGTGTGTGACATGAACACAGTCTCTGTCAGGAGATTTTGAGTGGGCAGTGCATGAAGCTGTACGGCTGACGCCAAAGTTGCAGCAAAGACCCCAGAAAATCTTAGATGCCTGGAATATGGAGCAACTGCCAAGGAAAGCCATAGGCAACAAGCACAGCTAGCCAAAGAGCAAGGCCATATGGATTGCAGAGCTTTTCTCTGCTGTGTTTTCACCGTGCTGTTCTCCTCTGCAGTGAGCCAGCTATGGACTGAATTCTTTGAAACTGTGAGGCAAGATAAGCTT